GGATTTAATCATCAAATCCGGATTTAATATTAAATCCGGATTTATATTATAATAAATAATTTCGTCTTTTTAACCTTTACAAGAAGTAATGCGAAATTACCAATCTAACTTCTTTTTACTTCTACATGATTTCTCAAGTAACACGATAGTATTTGTCCAGTGTCGAATTGAACTTTCTGTTCAAAAGTTATAGTCTGTCAAACGATCGGCTTTGGGGTATTTATTTTTACTTACGCATTTTATAATTAATAAAGTTCTTGCGAAGCATGATTTGTTGTTACAGCACATGCTCTAAAATGTATTTCGTGATTTTTTTTTTGATTTTCTTTAGTAATTTTCATCGTAACTAACACGTTTCAAATTGTTTTAATTAGATTTCCGTAAATTTTATCCTTTCTAATGATATTTGCTTAAATGCGATGACTATTGAAGTAAGTGTAATTCTTTCATTTTACATTCAATGGGATTTCCTTTATTAGAGGGCGAATGAAATTACACACAGATTCATGCTAATGTGCTATTTTTTCCTTAGTAATATATCGGTTTACTGTAAGGTCGGACCTTGATAAGTGCAGTGCAATCTAAGGGACGATTAAAAAAAAAAATATACTTTTTTTACTTTAAGGTAAGGGTTAATAAAGACTTTAACAACTTGGGCCTTGGGCAAATAGGGCTTGTGCTTAAGGAATATGTGCTTAGAGGAGTATGGTCTATAATAAAAAAATTGTTGCACTCAGGAAGGTTAAACCAATAAGTAGTTTTATAATTGAACTTCGTTAGGAGTATGACCATATACCATATATTAACCTTTTCACTCATGCTAAGGGTTATACATTTAGGAGTATGATTATATATCGATTTTTCTCCTTCAATTTAGAAGTATAATTATATATTAATTCTCTTATTAAATGGTCTATAATAAAAAAAAATCGGTGTACTCAGGTAATTATTTATTTATAATTGAACTTCGTTAGGAGTATGACCTTATATCATATATTAACTTTTTCACTCGTGCTAGGGATTATGCATTTAGGAGTATGAATTTGTCTCTTACAGTCTGGAAGTATGGTTATATATTAATTCTCTCATTAAATGGCCCATAATAAAAAATCGTCGCACTCAAGAAGATTAAACCAATAAGTGGTTTTATTAGTTTGAGCTAAGTAATTATTTATAATTGAACTTCGTTAGGAGTATGACCATATACTATATATTAACCTTTTTACTCGCGCTAAGGGTTATACATTTAGGAGTATGATTATATATCGATTTTTTTCTTTCGATTTAGGAGTATAATTATGTATTAATTCTCTTATTAAATGGTCTATAATAAAAAAAAATCGATGCACTCAGGTAATTATTTATTTATAATTGAACTTCGTTAGGAGTATGACCTTATATCATATATTAACTTTTTTACTTGCGCTAGGGATTATGCATTTAGGAGTATGAATTTTTTCTTTCGGTCTGGAAGTATGATTATATATTAATTCTTCATTAAATGGTCTATAATAAAAAAATCGTTGCACTCAAGAAGATTAAACCAATAAGTGGTTTTATTAGTTTGAGCTAAGTAATTATTTATAATTGAACTTCGTTAGGAGTATGACTATATATCATATATTAACTTTTTCAATCGCGCTAGAGATTATGCATTTAGAAGTACGATTATATCAAATTTTCATTTTCGATCTAGAATATGTATTTAGGAGTATAATCATATGTATATTCTCACTTTGCTAGGAATTGCATATTTAGAAGTTTAGAAGTATAATAATAGATTAGTTTTTCATTAAATGTATATTTAATAAATAATTTTTCGAAGTTGTATTTTTTTTATTTAATCAATAAAAAATAATCGTTATAAAAATGATCGTTTTCCACTTCAAGTTTTATCAAAAAAAAAAAAATTTGTTCAATAATGCTTAATCCTAATAGAAAAAAAAGAAAACCTAATAAAAAAAAGGCTCAATCGACCTCATCCGTTGATTCTAGTAACTTATCAACTTCAAGAGCAAATGCTACTTTTACGCGACACTTTTACCAGGACGATGAAACTGACAACACAATTATATATTGTAAGCTTTGTACTCAAGAGTTAGAAGACTTGGACGCTTCTCCATATCCATATAGTAAATCAGGAAAAAGTACAGGACATTTAATACAGCATTTACGTGATAAGCATCATATAACTTCAAAGAATTATAGACAATACCTCGATGATGATGAACAAGTAAAAAATTGTTAATCATTATAAAAATAATTAAATTTCAAACAAGGTCTTTAACTTTTTTATTTTTATTTTTTTAATAGCCCATGGCAGTAGCAGTAATCAACCAGGATCTAGAATCGATGGACATAGACTTACCTTCCCTTTCATCTAAACAGCAACAAGAATTAACAAAGCTTGTGGTAGAGTTCATCGTATATGATGTTCAACCATTATATATATTAAAATGCCCATCTTTTCGAAAACTTCTAAATGGTTTTAGATCACAATATCAAATACCATGCACGAATACCATAAAAAAATATATTTCTGAAGCCTATTCGTGGGGTACTGACCAGCTTAAGAAATCGTTATTAGGTGTCAATACTGTTAATTTAACAACTGATCTATGGACCGCAAAGAGTAACCATGGTTATCTTGGTATTACAGTAACATGGTTAATATCTGACTTTAAGCTTCAGGAGGCGCTACTTTCAAACCATCATATGCCACATCCTCATACAGGTCAAGATATTTGTGAGGAGTTGTTTTTCATAATAAATAAATGGGAGTTAGTAAATAAAATACATAATATTGTAACGGATAACGGTTCAAACATGGTAAAAGGTGTTGAGTTATTAAAAGAAAATTACTTGCCTAATATTAATTGGCAATCATGTGTTGCGCATACTCTTCAGCTTACAGTAAAAGAAGGTTTAAAACAAATTAAACCAATTCATAAACGACTCAAAAGCCTTCAGACATTTTTTAAACTTCCTAAGCAAGCACAACGATTGCATAATATGCAAATACAAATGCAATCGGATCCATTAGATATTATCCAAAGTGATGCTGAAGACAAAATTGTAAATCCACTTGAGGTTTTAACTGACTGTAAAACCCGGTGGAATTCCACTTACTTGGCTTGGAAGCGAATTTTGTTATTGCACCCAGCAATGCTTATGCTTGCGACAACATTAAGAAATAAGTCAAATGCTTTATCTAAACGAGAAGGTGAAAAACTTTTTAAATTATGCTTAACTACAGAAGAACAAGAGTACGTATAGTTAGATTATCATTATAAATAAATTTTTCAATCATGTGTTTTTAGCATAATCTAAAAATTGTTACTCGAGTTAACAACTGAATTTAATATTAAACTGGGTTTATAGAAATAATATTTTACAATCAAACCTATTAAAATTAAATTCAATTCAGTTTTGAATTCCTACTCGAATTAACATATGTTTTTTGATTATACTTAGGGTTTTATATTTTGTATTAATATATATTTTTTTTAACAAGATTTGTAGGGCAAATAGTTAACCTTTTAAAACCGTTTGAAGAGGTTACAAGATACGTTTGTGGATCAAAGTATCCTACTCTAAATCTCGTATATCCTTATATACGAACTTTAAAAAGTAAATTTGCTCCAAAAAGTGAAAATGGAGAATCGTTTGAATCTTGGATTAATCTTATTTATGGTCCAGAAGATCAAGATTCTAATGATTCAAGTATTAGTAGTGATAATGAAGCTGATATACCATCAGCAGGAAATCGGCGACAATGGCAATATGCACATCGACGTTCACATCGATGTGCATATCGTGTTGGTAATAAAAAACATAAAAATAAAAAAAGAAAAATTCTTACAGAGCTGGAGGATTCTAATACTGTAGAGTATTTATCAAATGTAAACTGTTCTGGGCTTTTAGAGAAAGCAAGAGCTGCAATTTTTTTATCACTTGATGAGTTATGGGATAAATCCAATGAAATGGGTTTAAAAGCTTCTATCTTAGATCCACGCGTACTAAAATTGCTTTCATTTGCCACAGTTCAAGAGCGAGAAGATACAGAAGCCCAAATCCGTACAGAATTATCACTATTAAAATCTCAATTAACTAATTCAAATAATAATGAAGAGATAGAAAAAAATTCAGTAAATATAAATGAAGACCCCCAAGATTCTTTAAGTGCAGAATTATGGGGGTCATTTTCAATATCTGATCAAGCCACCACTGAAGATGAATTCACGCGATACATGAAAGAGCAGATAGCTCATAAAAATCAGGATCCTTTAACATGGTGGGAAAATAGACGTGTAAGCTTTCCACTACTTAGTCAACTTGCACGCAAATATTTATCCATCCCCGCCACTTCAGTTCTATCAGAACGGTTATTTTCTGATGCAAATAATCATATATCGGCCAGAAGAACTCGCCTTGACCCCAATTTAGTAGATAGAATGTTATTTTTAAAAAGAAATTCACATTTGCATTCGTTGTTTCCACCTAATCCTTAATTTTTTATTGACTTAAACCAATTTAACATAAATTTAATATTAATATTACATAAAAATTAAACGCTTCACCTGCTTGTAATAACTATCTATCATTCACAAGAATATAATTCCCAAAATTTTTTTTTTCATATAGCTTTAGCATCGAATCGTCTCTTTAATAACATTACTAATCTTTCACTATTCTAATACGATCTGTAATGTTTTTAATTTGAATATTAAATCTGTTAAAATTAGTGATTTACGCATTAATAGCTTCCATACAATAATTCAAGAGAATGCTTACCACCATGCTTATTGCATCGTTATAAAAAGGCAGTTCAATTACCGGTACTATATTGGGCCTATGACTGTTAAAAATATGTTACCCATACTCTATAATATGTACTTAGTTTCAAAGTAATACCTGCGACCATTGTTGATTCTAGAACCTGATTTCAAAACGATTTGGAAGTACACTGAGGCTAAATAAAACTCAAGAGGAGGTAAGATGTTCATACTTTGTAAGTGAAGTATTTGATATAAAAAAAAAAAAAAAAAACCAAAGATGAATGCAAGTTAATTAGGACCTTAATCATGAAGTTTATTATATGATTCTTGGTTGTAAAACATAGGGATTGGTGTTCCAAAATTACTGTTTTGTGCTTAACGTTCACCTCTTT